TAGGCTCACTTTAGGGTCACCATCACTTGAAAACAACTTGAAGGCTCACAGTAACAACAACAAAATAAGATTTTAGCTGAACTTTGTTTTAAACTGTTCTAAACCACTTTAGGTCCCATTATGGGGGAGGAGGGGGGAAACAGGATATACATTATATATGAATGAAATATATACACCAAACTGCCATTTTTTTCCTCTTCCTTGTCCTAATATACAGGTTTTTACACATTTTTGTTAATGTACACATTTTCTCCATTAACTAACATGTGTTTGTGTGCATTTTTCAAAAATATACATGTGTAGTGGATTTGAGAGGGCCAGTGTGGCATAGTGGTTTGAGTGCTGAACTACAGCTCGGGAGACCAGGATTCAAATCCCAGTTTGGCCATGAAACCCACTGGGTGACCTTGGGCAAATCATATACTCTCAGCCTCAGGGGAAAGCAGTGGCAAACCTCCTCTGAACAAAGTTTGAAAAACAACAACAACAACAACAAACCAACAGCACCATGATAGATTTGCTTTAGGGTCCCCATAATTCAGGAACAACTTCAAGGCAATGTGAAGTCGTACGCTTTCATGGCTGGCATCCATAGTTTTTCTCTGAAGATGCCAGCCACAGATGCTGGCGAAACATGGCCACACAGCCCGAAAAACCCACAAAAAACTAACTTCAAGGCACACAACAACAAGTGGATGTGGTTCCCTTATCAGCATGATTACCAAAGAGTAACAGATACCCAGTAGCATAAAAAGATTTGTTTTGTATGCAGTAGGCCTTGCCAGTACAGATAAAAAGACTCAGTCAAGGAAGCCACAGCTTTGAGTTTCCAAGATCTAAATAAGGGCTGTTAATAAAAGGTTCCACGGGAAGTCTCATAAGTTCATCATACATTGAAGACAATTTGATAGCACATAACAAGAAAACTAGAACCTGCTAGATGGTTTACACTTTAGCCTAGCATTTCAAAGATACAGGGGCAGCTGAGAGTAAACTGGGGGAATAATCCTTCCTGTTAGCAACTTGCTTGTACTGTTGTCAAATCTGCACAAGTGAGAAATGAGTCATGTCTGTGCCATTTCATTTTCTTTGTTTGGTTCTTCTCTATGCAACTCTAGGGATCTATTTATCCATTGCCTCATCTAGGATGATGTATTCTAGCTCAAGGGACTACTTGTCCACCCATGGATGTTTGTGTATTAGGTCTGGGGTAGTTCAGGTAGAATTCATTGTTTAGTGGCCTGATTCTACCACCTGCTGCTGCTATTTAAAGAGATGTAATGCTTCTTCTGCTGAAGCTCACCTGCTGAATGCATTTGCCATAAATGAAACTTGATTTTTATCTCAGCGGTGATGCATGTTGGTGTTTGGTATCAAATGAAGTGTTAGGGAGCCCTTGACTTGCAAGCAGTTCGGGCTCAGAATAGTATGTTTATTAATTTCTTGTTGTTAATTGTTGTCCAGTTGGGCTTTGACTTATG